TAAAACTCGGTTTTGGTATTCATAACGACTTGTCTCTAATCAAGGAGTCGTTTAATATGAGCGCAAACTTTAGGCCACAGAATGTGTTGGATTTGTCCAAATTCATGGAATATATATTGAGTGAATTCACGGATCTTATCGCCGACACAGTCATAGCTGAGGCCCGAAGAAAAGACTTGAAAGGGTTGTCCAAAACTGTGTTCATACTGTTGGGCAAAGCGCTCAACAAATCGGAACAGTTTTCCGATTGGAATCGGCGGCCATTACGCGAAGATCAGGTGAAATACGCGGCTTTGGATGCCTTCTGTTTGGTTGAAGTGTTCAATAAATTGAAGCAATTGTTTGAAGAAAAGGGCTATAATTTCGAGGAATTTGTGCACAATTTTATTGCCGGAAAACTACATAAAACTAACAAACAAATCAAGGATAAGGTCAACGAGGGTCAGCCAGAGATCACATACCCGCCCATTAATGTCAAGAACTTTCGCTGCGTCTGCGATACTATGCTTCAGGGTATGAGTGCTTTCGTTGAGTCATTTAAGTCCCAGATTTCATAGTTTTTATGACATAAGGTTTGGGTCGTTATCTGCGTATATGCGGCGCCGACGTCGAGATACTGGAGTCGACCGACAATCACGATAAGGCGGCGCGCATTGCGATGGAACAGAGCCGGATACTCTTGACGTGTGGCGCGCCCTACGAGTACTACAAGAGTCGACTGTCCACTGGTATGTGTTATCGCGTGAGTAATAACGCGTCGGCCTTCGAGCAAATGGAAATGGTTTTGATTCGCTTCAACATCAAAGTCAGTGAGGAAGACTTGTTCACGCGGTGCCCGAAATGCAATTGCAATCACTTTCAGGTGATGACTGTGAGCCAAATGCAGGACACGTACCGAAACCGGAGTCACTATAAGACCAATTCGGGAGCGCCCGTCAAGTTCGAGGGCTTTCACGTCAGTACTTTCGATACGGTTAAGGAGTTCCTGTTGTGCACCAAATGCGGTCAAATCTTTTGGGACGGCTGTCACCAAACCCGATGGAAAGACAAGATTCAGTCCATTCTATTCCCCAATCAAACGCCCACTAAAGCCCACGACCCGGAAGTGATTTGTTTGGATTGATTTGTATTACAAGTTTACAGTTATTGCCTTCAATTTGTCAATTTATAGCCAATTTTTAAATTTAAACTAATTTTTACTGTTTTTTAATTAAATACATTGATCTCTATTTATTTATAAACACAAATACAGCTAAAAAAGTTTGTCGTTATTCTTTGGATTCATAATTAAATTATTTTTATATAAAGTTATAAAAAAGTAATAAAATAAAAACAATTTATTATAATTTACAAGTACTGGTAGAACAAATGTTGAATACTTATGGATTAATAGAGCAATCGTTGATTTTGAGGGACTTATCCTTAGTTGCTTTAGTGTAACCGAATTTATCGCACTTATCCTTACATTCCTTAAGTGTCTGGAAGTTATTTTTGTTGCCATAACAGCCATAGTATAAGAAACAGTCGCACGACTTCCTATCAGGGTGATAATAGTAGCGAATACTCAGTTTTCCCACATTTCCCGGGCACCAGAAGCCTGAGTCCTGCATCGACTCCAAACACGTCTGTATGACAGACACTTTCGTCATGTTTAGCCAATCCTTGATTTCATCCAATTTGTTGTTAACTATTTTCTCCACTTTTAGTCCTAAATTCTGCTTCGGTTCCGGTTTGGGAGTCATACCTATTCGCTGTTTCGGTTCCGGTTTGGGAGTCACTCCCATTCGCAGCTCTATTTGGGGGTAATTTTTCAGTTTTATTCATTTTATTCAAACGTCACTTTAAAGGACTTATGAAGTCATACCTCCGAATCTGGCTTTTGTGACACGAGTTTGCGATTTATCAGTAGTAGTGGTCGCACGCGACTCTTCCTTGTGATCTTCACCGCCTTCCGCCGAATCTTTCTGTCCATTTTCATCGACCAGTTCAGCGTTTGGATCCATGTCTGGCGCTTCTGTGGCATTAATTTGTTCGCCATTCATCTCGTAGTCGTGTGTCATCACATCGAGCGATGACTGAAGTCCAACGTCTTCCTCAGGGTTGGTCTCTTCAGTGGTGTCGGAAACCTGGGGTTTATTTGTTGTCACTTTTAGTTTGACAGTAGTTTTAGATGTTTTTTTCGCAGTTCTTGTAGTTATAATTGGTTTCATATGAATATAGGATTTAGTGGTTCTCACACTTTCTGTGCTTTCAATTTCTGACTTTAAAGTTGTTTGCGATTCATATGATTCTTGACTCTGTGTTGTATCCACAGTAGTGTCGGCACTGGTTTCCGATTCACTTAATGTTTCACTAACTAATGTCTGGGTAGTGGTTGTGGTATCACTATCAGAATCAGTAGTAGTTTCTAAATCACTTTCACTAGTAGTTTGTTTGTCCGTTGAATCTGCATTCACTTCAGTCGCTTCAGTAACACAAGTTGTTTCCAAATCACTGGATGTCTGTTCGTGTCCACTGTCTGTGGAATCGCTGGCATCAGTGGTGCTCTCATTTTCACTCTCTGTGGTGTATACCTCTATCGGAGCTCTTGTTTTCAAAACATCTACATATAGGAAATGAAACCGCAGTTTAGTTTGAGAATCAATGAGTGGTCAGACATCACATTACTCTTGTACTTGTGATTAGATCCCAAGGCGTAACCACATTTGGCAATCACCACAATTGCTAATATGGAAACCAATCGCTTTAATAATATTGTATTGAATGTCATTGCGATTCAAAACCATATTTAGACATTTGTTTAAGTATTTATTTATTTATATA